GTGAGCTATCCACTATCCTGCCAGTCACCCCACCCCTTTACGTTAACGGAATCAGTTTCTGTTATTGACAAGCAAAGAACCTTAATTAATATGGAAATTGGTGCCAGAAAATTGGCATCCTTGGGGAAATGTTGGGTGTTTGGAATGAGTTATTTGGCTAATAGGAGGCAAAAGAATCTGAAGCTCCATTAATATTCACGGGCCCTGTTCTTTCACTAAGGTTGGGGCTCTGGGAGCCTAGTAGTTGCTGCACTGACCAATTTAAATGATGAAGAATGGCAGACAACCAGGCATCATGGTTGTTTTCCACCCAACATATAACTTAAAACAGGAGAAGGAGATCAAATCTCAAAATTTCACCTTCGTGATATTCCAGTTTTTTCTGTGACTTTGAGAAACAAACAAACAACAACAACAAAAACCAAAAGTGATTCCTATCTAAAGCTATAAGGCCAAGGATGTACAAACCAAACCCAGAAACTGATTTTGTGAGTTGGGTTCGCAAGTCTTTCTAAGTCTTTCATACGAAGGTTGGAGAAGTAATCAGAAGGCAGTGCATCCTGGCAAATGGAAAAGGCAACATTTAAGAGGACCTGTAAGACTGAATGCAGTACATCTCAAAGATGCACTGGTCCCCAGACCAGTGGCATTGGCATCCCCTGGGAACTTGTTAGAAATGTAAATTTTCAGGGCGCCTGGGTGGCTCACTCTGTCCAGTGTCTGCCTTTGGCTCAGGTCATAATCTCAGTGTCCTGGGATTGAGCACTGCCTTGGGCTCTCTGCTCAGCGGGGAGTCTGCTTCTCCTTCTCCCTCTGTGATCTCTCTCGCTCTTGCTCAAATAAATAAAAATAAAATCTTAAAAGAAATGCAAATTTTCCAGCTCTACCCCAGACCTACTAAATCAGCAACTCTAGGGGTAGGTACAGTTCTGGGGTTTGGCATGTCCTCCAGAGGATGCTGATGAAAGTTTGAGAGGAACTGACATAAAGGAACTGAAGACCTCGAACCATCCTGAAATAACTCCTCACCCTGCTTTCTTTGGCCGAGGACACTTTGCCATCTTTGCATGTGAGAACTAATAATTTCCCTCAGAAGCCAAGTCACACTGTTGCTAGGGCAACCAGCTACATTTCTCATGGCCTTGGTAGGGGGAGGGGAGGCAATCCCGAATATTGGTACATCAGAGTTAGAAGCCTAGAAGAAGTTGTAGAAATTCGCTAACTTACAGCCCCCCAAATTGGGAGAATGTGGGAATAGACTTTGAGGTTGCTAGATCAGGAGCAGGGTCCCTATAGTCTATCCGGCAGAATGTGTAGATATGGGCACCTCCCAGAGATTGTGTATTCAGAGTATAACAAGTTGGGGAAAGACTGTCCAATGTAAATGTGCACTGAATCTCGTCCCACAACAAGTTATATCCCAAAAGTCAGAAATCCCTTACCAAGTATAAAGGAAGGAATTCAGACACTTGAGGAAGAGGGAATAAGGAATTGGATAGATGATGCTCACAGAGTCCAGGCACATCTTGACCACACCTTTGATATAAACTTTCATTTTAGTAACGAAAAGTATAGGTTAAGGGGTATCAGTATGGCTTTATGGCAGGAAGGTGAAGCCGCTCTGGATAGTTTAAGCAGTAAGATAATTGCACCCAACTAGACGCTTGCAAAATCACTGAAAGAGACGGGGGCAGCGTGTGGGGCGGGGGCAGCACCAGAGCTGTGAAGTTCTGGAGTTTGATCCTCTGATAAGAAAAGCCACCACTGTCTCAACCACCCCTTGACAGTGCTGAAAGTTGTGATTAGACACGCTTAGGTCAGCGTCTGCCGTTACCTACTGACGCTTGGATCTGCATGGCCTTGTCTGCCAGCAAAAACAGCAGCAGGAAAATAGCTTCTGTCTCACGTCTCTCTTTGATGTCATTCAAGAGTATGTCTAATCAGCAGAAACCAATTTGCTTCCAGAATATGAGCTGGAAAGGAGTTGGGGAAGCATGGTTTTTCACTTCCCAGCCTCAGCAGAGCAGGAAGATACATTCAAGGAAGGAGAATGAAGGGAAAGTGAACTTATTCTGTACCCATCTCCCATGAGAAGCGACAGCTCTGTACAAAAAGCCTTCTCTAGACTCGGAATGCTGGGTGCGAGAGCCGTCACTGGGATGGACTCCCAGATCTCAGGGGCAGGGGCAGGGGGAGCTCAAGATGCATGTGCCCACGTAGAAGCTGCTAACCACCAGAGGTAAACGGAGCTTGGTTATTCTAGCAGACAGCACCGTGGCCAGGGTAATCAGGTTCCAGTAAAAATAGCCCGACTCTCGTGAGTATCCGGTTGTGATAAATGAATCAGGCTCCAAAGTGCAGCATGTCCGGAAACCATAAGTCCTTATTTGACTTTTTAAAAAGATTTTATTTATTTATTTAACAGAGAGACACAGTGAGAGAGGGAACACAAGCAGGGGGAGTGGGAGAGGGAGAAGCAGGCTTCCCGCTGAGCGGGGCTCGATGCGGGGCTTGATGCGGGGCTTGATCCCAGGACCCTGGAATCATGACCTGAGCCGAAGGCAGATGCATAACGACTGAGCCATGCAGGCGCCCCCATCCTTATTTGATTTCTACCCCACCACAAAGGCCAGGACTGAGCCACCTTCCTCGACAGTTAGGTTTGGGTTTTGTTTTTGTTTTTAACCTATCTTCCAGATCCGTGTTAGTTCAAGGCAATAATACATTTGTGGTTCAATTGAATTGTAAGTTGAAATTGCCACCAGGCCATTTGACTGCTCAGGCCACCAGGAGCCACCAAAGGGAGGAATGGGTTGCTGTGGTGGGTTCAGAATATGGGCTCGAAATCCCTGATGCTTTCTCCCTTCAAAAGGCAAACCTAAGGGCTATCCCCCTTGGGTGTGAGTCAAAGTGACTCGATTCTAACCAGCAAATTTCCCTCTAAGCCCTACTTGTACTGCATCTCACAAATGTTGATAAGTTCTTTTTTTATTTAGTTCCAAATTAAATTTTTCTCTTGAGATTTCTTCTTTGAGCCATGTATTATATAGAAGTGTGTTGTTTAATCTCCAAATATCTTGAAATTTTCCAGCTATCTTTCTCCTATTGATTTCTAGTTTAATTCTGTTATCTCAGAACATATTTTGTATGATTTCTATTTTTTTACATTTGTTAAGGTGTGTTTGATGACCCAGAATGTGGCCTATCTTCCTGAATGTTCCATGTGAGTTTGAGAAGAACATGTATTCTTCTGTTGTTGGATGGAGCAGAGTTAACCATTGAACAACACGGGTTTGAACAGCGGGTCCATTTATACATTGATTTTTTTTTTTTTTAACAAATACAGGACAGTACTATAAATGTATTTTCTCTTATGATTTTCTTTTTTTTAATTTTTAAAAAAATTTTTTAAAATATTTTATTTATTTGACAGAGAGAGAGCATAAGCAGGGGGAGGCAGAGGGAGAGGGAGAAGCAGGCTCCCCACTGAGCAGGAAACCGGATGCAGGGCTCCATCCCAGGACCCTGGGATCATGACCTGAGCTGAAGGCAGACGCTTAACCAACTGAGCCACCCAGGCGCCCCTAAATAGTTGCGTAAAATTGAATTATTTAATTATCATAGCCACTTCCTGCTGGGCTGTGCTAATTGGTATAAGAGATTTGAAAGGATCAAGAATGTATGATTGCTGCTGTGCCAAGCCAAAGTCAACCAGTTCATTTCTTCCAACTCTGCATATATGGGGTAATGTACCGACTGGGGAATCAGGGATACAAGTAACTCAAATGGTATATCATCAAATAATGTTAAACATCATCCTACACACACACACACACACACACACACACTCACACATACCACAAAGGGCTACAGAGTATAGACTTTGCAAAGCAATGGCCTTTCTACTTCATAATGCCTGAAAATTCTACCAAGAGATCTTTACCCATTCTACTTTAGAGGATTCTTACAGGATCTTGGATTCACTTTCAAATTTAAGCATTTTAAAATTCAACAAATTAAAAAATCTTAGCAAGGCTGTCCTAGGCCTAATGATTTCAAGTAAAAACTAAAGAAAGGAATTCACATAAATCCTTATTAAGCCATTACTATGTTTGAAGCCCTGTGCTAAATAAAGTACGGTACAAAGTTGATTTGGTCAGGGAGAAGCACAAGGAAAAGCATTTTAGGTTAACATCTTACCATCCAGCAAAGATTCTGTAGTTAACTCCTTTCTAAGTGAAGAACAATTTTTGCTACAGCAGACACTAACATTTTGCACTCAATGCACTCAAATGCACTCAAATTCCTCAATCTAGGTCAATCTCATGGTTGTTAAAATGATATATGCATACTTTCTGGATTACTCCTTATTTTAAAATACTGAATTTTGCCCAATTGTCAGACCAAGTGTTCCAGTTTTAGGTTAAAAATATAGTCACACTACTCTTGTCCCACGGCATCTCCTCTCCCCCTGCCACTGTCAAACTTTCTACCAACAAAGAACCGTGCTTTGCGTCCTAAAGTGGACATAACCGAAAGACGCGGAAACCTACGTGGGTTTAATCCTTGCGTGCTTGCATGCAGAGTCCCTAATCCCGTTTTCCAAGTCACTCAAACGCAGAGCTGCATCAGAAAGCCTCTTCAAGGTTCCTTGCATCTGCAGACTTCTGCGATTAGAATGCATCTCTTCTTGGGAGAGAATTCACATAAAGCACCCATAGTAAATTAGGTAGCTGAGGGCCAGACCAACCGCAGGGTTGAACTGAATCTGGTTTCTCTTTGAAAAGCCTTCCCGGGGAGAACATCCCACGCCAGCAACAGAGCGCGCCCCGGCACCACGTGTCTGCACCGACAGCCGGATTGGCGGAGCGCATTTTAGCGCTGCGGTCTAGACGCGCACAGTCCCGCCCAGCTGCCAGAGGAGCTGGGACACAGAGAGGAGAGGCCGGAGGGAGGTCGCAGAGGGGAGGGGGGAGGGAGGGGGGTAGGGGATTCCCGAGGAGCCCGCGCACCCGGAGTCTGGGAGGGCCCGAACGGCGCCAGGCCCGCCGCGCCACAACTTGCCCAAACCAGACAAGCTTCATTCTGCGCCCTGGAAGAAGGAGCCGGCCCGCCGCTTCCCGCTCGGCTGCTCCTCGGCCTCGGTGGGCCCCGCCTGCGCCAGCAGCGTTTCTGGGGTCTGGGTCCCCAGCGTCGCCCCCGTCCTCCTGCAGCGCCCGGCGCCCGCCAAGGAGCGCGCAGCTGGGGTGAGCCGAGGAGTCCTTGGGAGCCCGCGGCAGACTCGGCATCTCGGTGCCGGCGTAGCCAGGGCCTCCTCCCGCTTCCCCCGACCGCGAGCCGAGGCACTGCAGACCCCGCTGGCGTGGCTGCGGCAGCCCCCCACTCCCCGTTTCCCTTCTAACGGACAGTGGGGGGGCCTCACTGGAGCCCGTGTAATCCGGCCTTTGTCTTTGCGGGTTCGGGGGGCCACCCGGCAGTGCGCCCGGGACTGGAGGCGCCGCGCCGGGCTGCAGCCCAGCCCCGGGATGGGGGGCGGAGGGAACGGGAAAGCGTGCCCCCTTCTTTCCTGTTCCGGCCATCTTGGGGCCGAGATTCAGCCAAGGGGCAAGGATGGCCCGCAGCGCGGCTCTCTGCGCCCAGAGTGGCGGCAGCGAACGTAGATGGGCGCTTCAGCCCCGCGCACCTCCTCCGACCGTAGTGCGGGCGCGCGGAGAGCCACCCCCCGCGTTCAGCTCCAAGGGCCTGGGCCCAGAGCATGGGTGAATCCCCCTCACACGCCGGAGACACAGAGAACAGGAGAGATATGGGCTGACATTTACTTAACTAAACGCCGAATTCATTCAATCATTCTTTATCCACGTGTCCATTTGGCAAATTCTCAACCCTCTCTGGGCCTGACCTTTGCCAGGTGCTGAGGACATAACGGTGAGCAAGAGAAATCACGGCCCTTGTTCCCGCTGATCCTGCAGCCCAGTGGATGGAGCCCACAGTCCACAGACCTGCCAGGTCGGTATCCTGACGTCCTTTAAACAGGCTGGGAAACTGAGGCCTGGGGCTGACATAACTGGTTCTAGGTCAAGCAGCAAGTAAATGGAAGAATCAAACTTTGAACCTAGGTCTGTAAGTCTTTTATGCCAGGTGCAGTGAACCGTTAATGGTTTTTTTCTTTTTTTTTCCCCAAAGGCCCATTAAAAGTTATTTGGATGTACAGTTTATATGAAGTCATATGATGTGCGTTCTCTATTTCCTGGATGCTTTTATATGGGTTGCTTTCTAGTTCACAGTATCTGGAAAGTGCTAAAAATATTTGACATTACAACTTTGCTTTAAGTTACTCTGAATTGTATTTTCCTTTCTTCTATTCACATATCTGGCTGTTAGGAAAGAAAAAAAATTTCCTGATGGTTGTTCCAAGCAGGGACTCCCCCGTGGATTGAGGAATGTGTGGCTTTTCCTCAGCTCATTGATCTCTGTGGTAGCCACAGGCAGCACCCAAAGGACCCCAAGAATGAGAGGCCTGTGGTCTGCAAGTTGCTGCTAGAGATATTTTAGCCTCTCCAGATAACAGAATGCAACTGCCACACAAGTTCCTAAGGTAAACACCAGGGCCCTCTAAAACTTGATGGTACAAAGCTGATGGGTAAAGTTCCCCTCCATATAATTTTTTTTTTTTTTTAACCTTCACATTTTGAGAATGTATTCTTTTGGAAAGACAAGTCAAGTATTACTGTCTGGGGAAATTCCTTGATTTGTACTTCTATCAGTATCTTATATTTAGGTAGGCAACTCATAGAGGAAGAAAGACTCCATTTAAAAAAAAGGGTCTTGGGTGTAAGAAATTGAGAAAACCTGCCACCAAATATAATGAGCCTTGCCACTAATTTAATTTTTTAAACAATTTCATTGAGGTATAATAGACAAATGCACCCTTCATTTTCAATGTACAATTGGATAATTTTTGATAAATGTATATACCAGGTAATCAACAAACAGCACAATCAAAATACAGAACATTCCTGTTATACCGCAAAAGTGTCTTTCTGCCCCTTTGCTGCCAATTCCCCTCCATCCCATTTAATTTTACAGTTTTGTTGCTGAACGTTTTTTAAGTTGTGTGTATAAGATGAGGATGAATAGGCATTTCTAATCGCAAAACCTAAGGCGAGGACAGGAGTGAATAACCGGAGGCTGGCAGCTGGGACCGAAAGTGCCGGGGGGATGTGGCTCTCTACGCCTTAGGGACATGGAGTGTCAGCCCCAGAGCCAGGGAGGGTAGTGGCCCAGAGAACCAGCGCCCAGGAGATGCCCTCTCCGGGTGGACGCGCTCGCCCACGAGGTCTTCTCTGGTCCCGCAGGGCCCTGGGCGCACGCTGACAGCTCCCGGGCAGGCGCGCCCTTCGCTCCAGGTCCAGGCGGGGGCGCTGCCATAGCAACGGCCTGGACGCCCGGACCTTAGGCCGCCGCCGCCGGAGACCCTGCCATCTCCCGCTCCCGAGGGGTGGGGCGGCGGCGGCCCGGGCAGGGTAGACGGGACTGCCCGCTCCTCGGATGCCAGCGGAGGCGGCGGATTTGCTTCCAAGCATGGTAAGAGCGGGGAGATCGGGCTGCCTGGGGATGCGGGGCTGGCGGCGGCCGCGACTCCCCGGGACTCCCAGCTCCCCCACCACCGCCACGCTGTCTCCTTCCCGCAGCCCTTCCAGAAGCACGTCTACTACCCGCTCGCCAGCAGCCTGGAGGGTCCCGACGGCCCCGCAGCTGCCTCGGCCGCGCGATCCGCGATGGCCAGTGCCCCCCACAGCGCGGCGTCGGGCCCCCTGCCCTTCTTCCAGTTCCGGCCGCGGCTGGAGAGCGTGGACTGGCGGCGGCTGAGCGCCATCGACGTGGACAAGGTGGCGGGGGCCGTGGACGTGCTGACGCTGCAGGAGAACATCATGAACATCACCTTCTGCAAGCTGGAGGATGAGAAGTGCCCGCACTGCCAGTCGGGAGTGGACCCGGTGCTGCTGAAGCTCATCCGCCTGGCGCAGCTCACCATCGAGTACCTGCTGCACTCCCAGGAGTTCCTCACGTCGCAGTTGCACAACCTGGAGGAGCGCCTCCGCCTGAGCATGGCCGAGGGTGAGCAGAACAAGAAGCTCCTCGCCAAGCAGGCTGGGGAGATTAAGTTACTCAAGGAAGAGTGTAAACGCAGGAAAAAGATGATCTCGACCCAGCAGCTGATGATCGAGGCCAAAGCCAGCTATTACCAGGTGGGACCCTGCGTTGTGATTCTAATTCATAATCCAGTAAAACTTTTGGCCCCCACCAGCCAGGATATCCAGAATCCTTTCCTAGATCACTGCTCCGCCCCCCCCCCCGCCTTTTTTCCCAATAGTTAAGCAAAATAGTCATTGTAACCAACAGGTGACATGATTCATCACCTTCCATAGAGGACCACAGGATTAATAATTAATAATTAAACAATGTCCGCAGTGCTTTATTGAAGCCATCTAAATGCTGGTTGTTCAAGAAACCACCTCCTTCTCCGCGTGATGTAATGAAAAATAAACCATGTACAAATTGTTGAGGTCTGCCCCAGATGATGTGGTATGATTAAATTTGTGGGGGTTTTATTTCAAAATATTTTCAAACTTACAGAAAGGTTGTAGGAATAGTGCAAAGAACTTCATAAACCCCTCACCCAGATTCTCCAGTTATTAAATTTGCCACATTTCATTTATTTCCTCAGTCTCTATATACGTACTATTATTTTTGAACCATTTGACAGTAAGTTTCAGACTCCTGAATATTTCAGTGTGTATATTTCCTAAGAACAAGAACACTGCCTAATATAACAATATTAGTGATATAGGACAACAGTGTGTTTTAATTGAACAGGTAGTATTTAAAATATATTTTATTACTAAAACAACAGTATTTAAAAAAATTAAAACCTCTTGCTTTTCTGCTTTTAATCTCTATTATGGGTTAGACATTGAGCTCAAGATAAATACTGTAATTTTTGAGTATAACAAATCAATGTACTTATTTTTTTAATGATTAGAGTATCAACAATGTTTGATAAAGATAAAGATATCTTTGATAAAGATATTAAAGTAAGCAACAGGCTGACAAGATTGATTTCATTCCCTTATATTATAGTCACTTTAGCTAAATATGAGTAAAAAGGCCTAAGTGAATGGGACGCCTGGCTGGTTCAGTTGGTAGAGCATGCGACTCTTGATCTTGGGGTCGTGAGTTCCAGCCCCATGGTGGGAGTAGAGTTTATTTTAAAAAAAAAAAAAAGCCTCAGTGGACTTAGGGACTGGTGATTGCAGAGGACTGGCCATAGACACTAATGGTGTTGTTCATAGTGCTTAGGACTAACCCAACAGGAGCCTTGGGAGAAGTGTACTTAAGATAGGTGAACAGTTAGGAGAGAGTACTGTTAGAAAGCCTTAGTGTTTAGCCTTGCGTACACAACCCTGAGGTATAATCCTCAAATAACACCTGATGTTGCTAATTGCCTATTTGTTTCATAAATGCCATTTAGAAACTACATATTTATAAATAGTGCTGATATGGCCTTTTATAAATATATTTATTATACATTGAATAGAATGGATTCTATTTAGACATTAAAATTAGTTTAGCTTGGGCACTTGAGTGGCTCGGTTGAGCACCCTACTCTTTGTTTTGGCTCGGGTCGTGATCTCGGGGATCATGAGATTGAGCCCTGCGTCAGGCTCTGCACTCAGCGGGGAGTCTGCTTGAGATTCTCTTTCCCTCTGTTCCTACCTGGTGCGTGCCTGAGCGTGTGCACACTCTCTCTCACTCTCTTTCTCTCTCAAATAAATAAATGAATCTTAAAAAAAATATTTTAGCTTTGGTAGTAATCAGTGAAATGTTAAAACCTATAACGTAGAGAAATTTTAGACTTACGAACATTTTTTTCATTCTTTTAGTTACCATAGAAATAGCAGTCAGCAAAGATTTTAAAGTGTGAATGATATACATGAATAAAGGTAATGGCTCATTTTTATCAAGTGAGTGACACCTGCCAACTCGGCCACTCAGCGGACTCCCTGAATGAAAATGTCAGGTGTATGGCGTGCCCAGGTGTGACCATGAAAAGATAGAGGTGATCAGACCACTTTTTCCTACTCAGTGTAGTATAAATACACTCTGCTGTTTTTGGTGGCTTACCATTATCTCTTGATGGAGTCTTTAAGCAGTTGAGTGCTTTAGGGTGACAGTTCCAGAGTTAGACTGTGTGGTTTGAATCCTAACTATTCCACCATGCAAGTCATGTAACACCTAGACCTCCTTTTCTTCATCTGGAAAATGAGAACATTAGCAGTAGGTACCATAGCAGTAGGGCTATTCTGAGAATTCCATGAGATAATGCATGTGTGGCATAAGGAAGTCTCCGTAAACGTCTCATCTGTGAGCCAAGCTCACTTCTCTTGGTGGTGAGCTGTGGCTACCCGTGATCTCTGCGAGTCCTCGCACCTTTCCTAGGAGCTGAATAGCAAGCAGTTGCAGTGAGAATCAGTGATTCAGGGAGGGGACGTCAAGACTGCCGCTAAGAAAAGTTGGCACATAAACTACCTGGGGTTCCATGGGGTTACAATTATTTCAACTTCGAGGTTCCTGTGTTTGGGGATATTTGGCCTATGATAAAGTTTACAGGAAGACAATTGATTTTGTTGAAATAGCTTAGCCGGCAGTCATTAATTTGTGTTTAGAGACTTCCAACAGCTGGGGAAGTCTCATGGCCATGGGTGAAGGCCAGTGTGTACCAGTGATCTAGCTATCAAATTATTTTTTTAATTAAAAATTTAAAGATATCAGTGGATCATAACAGGACTTAGACTCATTCTAAGAAGACCTTTTGTTCTCATAGCTGGAAGACTTAGATTCCTCTCCATGCTTTAGCACGACAGGCAGATTTTGGAATCTGTCAGTGAATTTCTGACCCTGGTTGCAGTTTTTCAGTGTCTTGGAGTTGGAGATGAGTGTTGGGGATAGAAAAAGCATGCATTTTGCAGTCAGAGAGACGTAGGTTAAAATATGCATCTGATAACGCTGTGACCTAATTCATTCCCCACACCCCCAACCAACCTGCTCAGCGGGGAGCCTGCTTTTCACTATGCCTGCCACTTCCCCTGCTTGTGTGCACTCTTTCTCGCTCTCTATCTCTTTCTCACAAATAAGTAAAATCTTTAAAAAGAATAAAAATAAAAAGGCATCACCAAGGTCATCTAGGTTTTCTCCTATGTTATTTTTTAGGAGTTTTATAGTTTCGCATTTTACATTTAGGTTTGTGATCCATTTTGAGTTAAACTTTGTGAAGGATGGGAAGTCTGTGTCGACGTTCATTCTCTTGCACGTGGATGTCCAGTTGTTCCAGCACCATTGTTGAATAAACTATCTTTGTTCCATTGTATTGTTTTCACTCCTTTGTCAAAGATCAGATGATGAGATTTATATGGGTTTGTTTCTGGGCTCTCTCTTCTGCTCCATTGATCTGTTTGTCTATTCTTTAGATAATACTATACTGTCTTGATTACTCTAGCTTTATCTAGTGAGTCTTAAAGTTGAGTAGCACAAGTCATCCAACTTTGTCCTTTTCCTTCAATGCCATATTGGCTATTCTGGGTCTTTTAACAAACTTTAGAATCAGTTTGTTGCTATTCACAAATCACTTGCTGGGATTTGGATTGGGATTGCTTTGAATCTATAGATCAAATTAGGGAGAATTGACATCTTGACAATATTGAGTCTTCTTATCCATTAACATGGATGTTCACTTACTTAGTTCTCCTTTGATTTAGTCCTCAGACTTCAAAGCTTTCCTCATATAGAGCTTGTACATATTTTGTTGGATTCATACCTAAGTACTCATTTTGGGGGGTGCTAATGTAAATGGTGGTGTGGTTTTTATTTCAAATTCCACTTTTTCATTACTGGAATATAGGAAAGTTGACTTTAGTATATTACCCTTATGTCCAACTTTGCTATACCTCGTTATTAGTTCTAGGTTGTTGTTTTTTTTTTTTGTCAGTTCTTTTGGATTTCCTACATAGACATTAGTGTCATCTGAAAACAAAGAAAATTCTGTGTCTTCCATCCTAGTCTGTATATTTGTTATTTCCTTTTCTTGCTGTATTACATTGGCAAGGACTTCCGGTACAATGTCTTTCTCTACAAGCTTGGAGGTGGTGGTTTGCCCTGTGTCTTCTCTTTTCTTATGGATCCAAGAAGAGTTGTTGATTTTTTTAGTCTGTTCAGCTTTTTACTTATTGTTAGGAGGGAGTGGCAAATTTCAAGCTCCTTACCTGCATATTCAGAAACTGAAAGTCTTCTAACTTTGTTTTGATGTCTTTTTCATATAAAAGTTTTTCATCTTTTTTTAATTTTTATCTTAAAGATTTTATTTTTTATTTATTTATTTGAGAGAGAGCGTGCAGAGAGAGAGAGAGAGAGAGAGAGCATGAGTGGGGGGAGGGGCAGAGGGAGAGGGAGAAGCAGACTCCCCATTGAGCAGGGAGCCCCGACATGAGGCTCAATCCCAGAACCCTGGGATCATGACCTGAGCTAAAGGGAGACGCTTAACCGACTGAGCCACCCAGGCACCCCAGAAGTTTTTCATCCTGATGCAGTCAAAATGTCAGGCTTTTCTTTTGGGAGTAGGAACCCCTTCTTACCCTGAGCTCCTGGCTTTTCTGTATTATTCAAATAGTTAAAATATCTATTTTCCATTTTTAGAAATTAAAAGCCACACATTCTAGGTTTCTTCATCCTTTCCTTTCTCCAATGCTGTGCATGGCCTTACAGCCCACACTGACACCTGAGTCAGGGCAGTCCGTAAAGGACTATGAGGAAACCCAAGCAGTCAGCAGCAGCAGAGAAGGCTGGAAAGATACGTTCAACGTTCCCTGAAATGCAACGCCAAGAAATATGCCATACTGTAGGTTTTCTGGGAAAGAGAATGTGAACTTGCCATGCAGTTCTCCTGATTCAGAGTAAGGCAATACTGTGCATGAGTAGAACATGTGAATAGCACAATGGGGATGAAACTGCAAAATCCAAACTGGGAGAAACTCTGCAGGACACATGTTCCATTTCTTCGGCAAATGAATTGCAAGGAAAAAGAGAGCTGGAGGGTCAACTTACAGATCAGAAGAGAGTTGAGAGGCGTGATAAGCCGTTGCAGGATATGGCCTTATTTGGATCCTGATTCAAAACAAACTGTAAATTTTTTTTCTAAGACATTGTGTGAAATATTGGAGAAAAATAATATTTTTAATGTGTTGATATTAAGGAATTAATTTTCACATTTTAAGAGGTGGAATAATAATATTATGATTGTGTTAAAAGCAGCAAGTCCTTTTAGAGATAGAGTCTGAAATACTAACCAATGAAAATATATAATATCCATGGTTTAATTCAGGGTAATCCAGGGATGAAGGTATAGATGAAGCAAGTTGAATTTTTGCTTAAAATTTGAATCAGTGTTAAAGTGGAAAATGGAGATATTGGTAGAACTGATTTTTTTTTTCAGTAAAATTCATTTTAGGAAGCTAAATATTTCTAAGCATGTGTTCAGTCATTTATTAATGCTGGGCTCTGGGGATAATGCTATGAATAAGATAGACAAGAGCCCATGCTGTCAGGACTATGACGTTCTGGAACCGAGAGGCGCTGGGCAGGAGACAATAAACAAGTGAAGTGTGTCCATGTGGAAATAGTAATGGGTGAGATGTTGCAATGTTGACAGTAAGGCAGCGGGATGAGACGGTGATGGCAGGAGGACCGCGCGCAAAGGTCTGGTTGAGGACGCGCCATTCCTCCCCGGTGTGGAAGATGCTCCACGGAAGACTCCTGCCTGTCAAGAAGGAGCCAGCGGAGAAGGTCTGGGGAAGATTCAGGCGGCACAAGCCAATGCAGAGGCTGAAGTTGGTTGGCTTGAGGGACAAAAAGAAGACCAGCAAGGCTGGAGTGTCCCGAGCAAGTTGGTGGACAGGCTGGGAACCACCTGTCTAACGGGAACAGCATCAGGGGTTCCTGCAAGCACCAGGATGGGCCACTTTAGCTGCCAAAAGATAGCTTTCACTGTTTGGGGACAACACCCTGGTTTATAGTTGTCTTTCTAGTCCTGCTTTTAGTGTCCCCTACCAGGGTGGAAAATTCCCAGGAGGTGGTGCTTTAGATACCCCAATTTTAATTGAACTTAGGTGGGGGGGACGCTCATTACAGACCCTTAGATTTGTTGCTCTCTCTTTTTCAGTGCCATTTCTGTGACAAGGCCTTTATGAACCAAGCTTTTCTACAAAGTCACATTCAGCGCCGCCACCCCGAAGATTCTCATCTCGGTAAGGCACAAGCTCAACTTCAAAGAGCCGTTTTCCTTTGGGTACCTTTTTCTTTTTTTGTTTAGTGAGACATGGTCCAGTGCATCTCTCCGTCCTTTGAAAAGAAAGTATCATAGTCTTTGTTCACTCATTAAGTAAATCTTGTGCCCCAACTACGTGCCACGCACGGCACCAGGCCTGGGGATACGGGTGCAAGGGAAACAGACCAAGTTCTGCCCTCTGGAGGCTTAACGTTCTATTAGGAAGGGCGGAGAAGGTACACAAATAAATGAGTGGTTCTTTTCAAACGGTGGCAGATGCAACAAAGGAAATAAAACAGGAGAATGGGCTGGAGGTGGTCAGCAAAGGCATCGCTCAGGAGGCACTATTTGATCGGAGACCAGAATGATGAGGAGGTCCCAGCCTAGGGAAAATCTGGGAAAAGAATATTCCAGGCACAGGGCGCTCTGGATGGTGGGGGGGGGGGAGGGGGAGGCAGCACGGTGTGTTTGAGGAACAGATAGGTTAGCAGAGTAGAGGGAGCAAGGCAGTAGTGTGCGGGGCGTTGGAGGGGAGGAGTCTGGGTCACGGGACCTTGAAGGCCCCCCCCAGCCAGGAATGTGGGTAGCTCCTGGTGGAGAGCATAGCGGCAGTGGTGAAGGCAGGTGGAAGTGTGAGGGGGGCTGCCAGAGTAGCCCAGGTGAGTGACATGGCAGCAGGACTGGGACGGTACCAGGGAAGATCAGAGAAGTGAAGATGGAGAGGACATGTTCCACACAGAGCCCGCAGAGGTGTGACTTGGTGTGAGAGCAAGAGGTAAAGAAAGACAATCCTGGGTTTTTGTCCTCTACATTTGGGTGAACGGCGGTGATGTCTTCTCAGATGGGGACATATGGGCGGAAGCGGATTGAGGAAGGAAAGAGAATGAGAGTTCGTGTTGGTCAGGGTACACTTGAGTCACACATACAGTCGCTATCCAAGTGGAGATGTGGGGGGTCTGGGGGTCAAGGGAGAGGCCCAGGCTGGAGAGATAAATCCAGGAGTCCTTAGCAGAGCTGGGCTGGATGAGCTCACCTAGATAGGGAAGGGAAGATGGCCGAGGGCCAGCCCTAAGGTTCTCCCAATGTGAGGAGCTCAGGAAGAACAGCCGAGGGCAGTGAGAAATAGTTATGGAGGCAAAGGGAGACCGGGGGAATGTGTTGTTATGGAAACCAAGGGAAACGGGGGTTTCAGGAGGGATCCCAGTGGTCAGTTTATTGAAAGTTCTGAGGCACAGAGTAAGATGAGGACCAAGAATTGATTATTGCTGTCACGATGGCTGCTGTTGACTTTGACGTAGCAGCTTCAGTGCATTGGTGGGGACAGAAGCCCAAAGGGAGGGAGCCGAGCTGAGAATCAGGTGAGCAAATGGCCAGTAACATGTGCTGGGAAGGACAGCAGAGACATGAGGCATTGTCTGGAGGGAAATGTGGAACCAAGGGAAAATTTTTGTTTCCTTTGATGTGGGAGATACGAAGGTTTTTTTGGGTCCTGAGGTATAGAGGGGGAAATTAAAGAAGCAAGAGAGGGAAGGGGTTGTGGCTTATCAAGGAAGCAATTTCCTGTTATCTCAGTGTTCTTAAGGGAAAATAAATGCCAGGCCTTATTTCTCCATCAGCAGACAAAGCATTCTGCCGATTGCCTACAGACCGGTAACCCACAGAAGTTCTCATTATGGTCTTAAATGCTTTTAGCATCTCAATGTGTGTGCTCCTAGCTTGATAATAAGTGCTTGCTTCAGTCTCCTTTTTGGGCCAGTCTGTTTCCATTCCTGCTATTTCAGACAAATAGACTTATGTCGGAAACAGCTAAGCTTTGTATAAACAATATGAACAGCCGAAAATTCCATTTGTAAGTCATGGACCACTGAAAGCATTTAGCAGTATATTGGAGAAATTGGGAAGATTAAGTATTTTAATGAAACTACCATTCTTCAGTGTGAAACTGACCTTCTTTCTCTTCTGTTTCAGTATCTTATTCTATCTCATACTCGTTTCAGAGAGTATTTCAGACTCTGAAATGAGTATTATTTCTTCAGGTCATCTTTGAGATTCTGACTTTCTACTTTGGTTTCCATACCTTTCATGTCTACACTCACAGACACATGTATATCCATTCAGTCATGTGCACATCTTCATGTAAGTACATGTACATAATAAGTACCTTCCCTTCACTTGTTGCTTCCTTTTACAACCTTTCGGTACCTCGTTTTGGCCCCGTGGACAGCATATGGCCCCAGTTTGCATTTTGAATGCCAATCTCTGCTTGTCTGAGCACTGATGGGGTTCTCAGGAGAGCGTGGTGGGAGCCAGAAGGACAGTGACCATAGCGATGTCCAATATGGCGGTACCTGTAGTGGAAGCCAGGGCTTCCTTTCTCTACTCGAGACTGGCATCCCCAACAAGAGCCCAGGATTATTCCTTGTCACCATTATGGTTCCCTGAATGGGCTCTCACACTGTCTCTGGAGGATAATCCAACACAGTGGCTGAAATAATCTGCTACAAGTAATTCAGCGTCCCCTAAGTAAACACTACCGAGCAAAACTTGGCTCGTGTGGCATGAAAAAGTAATAGTATCCCAAAGTCAGAGCACTTTCCTTTGTCTTTGTCTTATCAGTAAGACCGTACCCCATAAGTTTTCAGATAGGTTTCAGAAGAGGTGGTATTTTAATGGCGTATTTCTGTTGCAACAGAGTATAAGAAAAAGGCACAGACTGATAAGCTCCAGAGTGAGATTGATATGCTGAAGGAGCAGCTGCAGCTCACCAGGTCTCAGCTGGAGGCTGCACAGCACGCCCACGCTGTCAGGGTCTCTAAGGTAGGGGGCTGAGTTCTGAAAACGGTGGTATGGTGGGAAGGACGGGTGTGAACTCCTTTGAAATGTTTGGTGGAATTCACCAGTGAAGCCATCTGGTCCTGGGCTTTTCTTTGTTGGGAGGTGTTTGATTACTGATTCAATGTCCTTACTCATTATTGGTTGGTCTGTTCAGATATTCTATTTTTTTCATGATTCAGTCTTGGTAGTTTGACTTGTTTCTAGGAATTTATCCATTTCTTTGAGATTGTCCAGTTTGTTGGCATATAACTGTACATAGTAGGCTATTATGATCCTTTGTAATTCCATAGTGTCAGTTATAATGTCTCCTCTTTTCTTTATAATTTATTTGAGTCCTTTTTCGGTTAGTCTAGCTAAGAGTTTGACAATTTTGTTTATCTTTAAAAAAAAAAACCCTCTTAGTTTTGTTCATCTTTTCTATTGTTTTTCTGTTCTCTGTTTTATTATTTCTGCTCTGATCTTTATATTTCCTTCTGCTGACTTTGAGCAGTTTTTTTTTTTTCTTGAGGTATAAAGTTAGATTGTTTATTTGAGATCTTTCTTTTTTTCTCAATGTAGACGTTTTTAGCTGTAAATTTTCCTCTTAGAACTGCTGTTGCTGCATCCCCTATGTTTTGGTATGTGTGTTTCCATTTTCATTTATCTCAAGATATTTTTGACTTCCCTTTTGACTCCTTCTTTGATCCATTGGTTGTTCGGGAATGTATTGTTTAATTTCCATGTATTTGTAAATTTTCCAATTTTCTTCCATTACTGATTTCTAGTTTCATACCATTGTGGTCAGAAAAGATACTTGACATAATTTTAGTCTTCTTGAATCTTGTTTTGTGACCTAATGTATAATCTATCCTTGAGAATGTTCCATGTGCACTGAGAAGAATGGGCATTCTACTGCCATTGGATAGTATATGTCTATTGGGTCCGTTTGGTACATAGTGTTGTTCAGATCCTGTGTTTCCTTATTGATTTTGTGTCTGGATGACCTATTCATTGTTGGGAGTGGGGTATTAAAGTCCCCTACGATTACAGTGTTGCTGTTTATATCTCCTTTTTGTTTTGTTAGTATATACTTTATAAATTTGGGTACGACAATGTTGAATACATAAATATTTACAATTCTTATGTCTTCTTGATGATTGGCGTCCTTATTATTATATAATAACCTTCTTTGTCTCTTGAGTTTTTTTTTTTGTTTTTTATTTGAGAGAGAGAGAATGAGAGACAGAGAGCATGAGAAGGAGGAGTGTCAGAGGGAGAAGCAGACTCCCTGCAGAGCAGGGAGCCCGATGCGGGACTCGATCCTGGGACTCCAGGATCATGACCTGAGCCGAAGGCAGTCG